TAATTCTAAATTTTAGCATGTCTTTCGAAAACATGAAAATAAACTAAAAAAATGTGTAATCGGTTGGCTCCATTCCTATTTGGGAAAAAATGGAACAAATTTGGACCAATTTCGGATGTTGCTTTGGATTAAAAAACCTAGCAACAGGCCCGGTTCCAAAACTAGAACCGGGTCCATCCCTACACCCAACATGCACAAAGAAGCACCTTTTTTCCCTTGAGACATAGGTTATACTAATCTTATGGTCCATAGAATGTAATTATGAGTAGTATTTAGTAGTCTACTAATAAGGTTATTGCTGATGAATGTATGCAGGACCTGGTTGCTCATCAATTGGAGCTGGAGCACTTTTGGAAGTTGGTCCTTACAAAGTTAAAAGTGATGGGAAAACATTGTACAAGAACGACTATGCTTGGAACAAAGGTAAGCACTTATAGAATACTTAAGGTTGGAACATAGTCACATAGAGCAGTTAAAAACTGAGAATATGGCTAAGGTTTCCAGCATTGATTTGAAATGGCAGTGGCAAATGTGATATTCCTGGACTCACCTGCCGGTGTGGGATTTTCCTATTCCAACACAACCAATGACTATAATACCACCGGGGACAGAAGAACAGCCACAGATTCACACATCTTCCTTGTGAATTGGCTTGAAAGATTCCCACATTACAAGACTCGGGATTTCTATATAGTGGGAGAGAGCTATGGTGGTCATTTTGCGCCTGAGCTTGCTTACACCATTTTAGCCCATAACAAGCATTCCCGGAAACAATTCATCAACCTCAAAGGCATTATTGTGAGTCTTATACCCTTTTTAACCCTCCCTCAAAGCGAAAACAAGTCTTGTTTCTTGAACAAGAATACTTAAGTAACACGGCTCTTTTATCAGGGTGATGGGGGTATGATTTTTTTTTTGCATCAATGTATACACTCTCACTAAAACTTGGTAAAAATAAAAATATTAAACAAAGAAATTGATTAATTTTCTTGATTTCAAATTTAAAATTGATATTCTGATTTTACCCTCTTTTATTACGCCTCTTAAATAATTACATTTAGTAAATTACCATGAACTCACTCTTTATCAAGGGAAAACAAAAACATAAAATAAAAATGTTGCATTGGAAAAAGATTATGCCTTGATAAAGGATCATTGACCCCTTTTAGAAGGTGTTTTACACTCAGTTATATTGATTAATCCTAATGGATCATTGCGGGCAGGTTGGAAATGGTTTCCTGGATCTTGATTTAACATTGAAAGGAAACATGGACTATTTATGGTCACATGCATTGAGCTCAGATGAATCTCATGAAGCAATTACCAAGTATTGTGACTTTGCTCATGGCAACTATTCTCTCATCTGCAACTTGTACGTATTGAAAGCACGGGTGGAGGGCGGGCTTGTTCCTATAAATTACATTTACGAGTCTTCTTACTGCAACCCCAATGCAACAAAACCCAAGTCTCCTAGTTCGGTGAGAATTAATTCTACAGGCAGTATACTATATATGTGCATATATGATTGTATCAAACTGACACTAAAATATGTGATATTTGAAACCATGATGAAGGGATATGATAAATGCTCGAGCTTATATGTGGCGGCTTACCTCAACAGGAAGAATGTGAAAATTTCTTTTCATGCTGTCGATACCATTTGGAGAGATTGCAGGTACTCCCCTAGGGACCATATGCATTGTTACTCAAACAAGATATTTAAATATACAAAACTACTTGGATCGTACCCCCTCCATAAAAAAGAAGAGTTCAGTGAAGATACAATATTTTAGTTCTGTGAAAGTATAACTTTGCAAATGTCATTGAGTCATGTAAATGTAGTCGGTACTATAAATAGATTTGAATGATTGCAAAAAAGATATCATTCAGTCCTATTTATAGTTCAATTTTTTAGTGTAGTACTGAGAGGTTGTTTTTTAAAGTGGTACTTGTTTTGGGACTAAATGGTTTTGAAAGCTCTTTACTGGGAGCAGAGTACTGGTTTTACTCTGCTCAACCAAAATGAGCGACTAGCTGTCATTGTGCTGAGTAGATCCATTGTGGGTCAACCAACGGCGAGAGATTCTGAGCTGACACTCATTTTGGGCGAATTAAAATATATAAGAAAGAAAAAGATGTACCATAAAGTTTGACCAAACACCAATGATAGAAATACTTGAAAAATGTGAGCAGCAATGAAGTTGGGCTGGCGAACTGGAGGGATGCACCTAGAACAGTTATCCCCATACTCAAACAGCTCATTGCAGAGAACATCAACATATGGCTTTATAGGTAAGTTCTCAAAGCAATTCTTATGTCTTCTTGATCATTCAGTTTATCAAACATCTAAACCTTAACTTGGAGTGGTGACATTACAAATAATACCTACAAATAACAACTAGTAATAATTGGAGTTTCGTTCTAATCTAAAGGGATGAGTGTCTCAAGATCTTAAATATTAATTTGATATTTTATACCTTGTTGTGAACAAACACAACAACTACAACAAATGCAGTGGGGATGCAGATGAAATAGTATCAGTAACAGCTACAAGGCTTGTAATAGACAGTATGAAACTTCCTGTGAAGACTGCCTGGCGTCCATGGTTGTCTAACAGTGGCCAGGTACATAGAAATGTTTGGCATTCTTTCTATCATTTTGACAAGAAACGATGCTCACTTCAAATTTGAACTTAATTTGAAGGAGGTTGGCGGGTACGTGGAAGAGTACAAGGGGTTGACACTTGTCACAATACGAGTAGCCGGGCATGCACCCCCTAGCTACCAACCAGAGCGAGCACTCACTATGATTACATCTTTTCTTCAAGGGAAACTTCCCCCCTCGACTTAACTAGCTAGAACAAGATTACTCCATCCAAACAGTGCTATTATATTCTTATTACTGTGTGCAATGAAATTACATAATAATGTGATTCTCCAATCATCTCAATAAACGATTGAATATTGTTCAAAAACATGGGAGCCATCTCCTCATCTCCTTGATTCAGCAATAATGAGAGAATATTAATGAAGTACAGTTACCGAGAGACAGAGAGTATAACATTCAAATATGTCTTAAAAGGGAATGAAGAAGGCATCGAGTACTATGATAGAGATGCACAAACAAGCTTCAAATATTTTTCTTAAGCCATGTCTATAACTCAAATTATACTAGTGGGCTAATATTAATAAATAAACGTTAAAGCCTTTCATGGTTCATATTCTGGATTGGGTTAATCCATGTTGTAATCAGATCGATTAAGTTCGAGGTATAAAAGTAGAAGAACTCAACGTGATTTGAAAGCAAATCAAGAATTCAAATCAAGTTGAGTTCTGAAGACTATTTTATTCACAAAATAAATAAATAAATAAATAAATTTTGGATGTTTTTTATAAGAAAATTATCTAACTAGGAGTAAAAGGTAGCCAAAAATCACATATAGGACTACATTGTATTAAATTTCCCAGTATGATTAATTATTTGTGTTTGGATAAATATACCCCGATAGCTTTTTGGACTAAAATAAATATTTAATAAAATTAATAAAAATAAAAAATTAGAAAAAAATAAAATAAAAAATACTCCTTCCGTCCCTGAAAATTCTCCTCACTTACCTTTTTGGGACGTCCCAAAATATTCTTCTCATTTCCCTTTTTGAAAAGGTTTGTGTGTCTACCATTAATTTACCTTTTTCTTACTCAACCACAATCATACATTTCTACTTTATTTCCACTTTCTTAAACTCCGATCCAAGTCCAATTGAGAAGTATTTTGCAGGACGGAGGGAGTAAAAAATTAGAATAAAAATTAAAAATTAAAAAAACACTAAAAAAAATACACAGCCGCCTCTGCCACACTAGCATCACCCGCTTCAATCACCGAAAAAATGCCAACTTGCATTAGTAATGCCATACTGATGGCGGCTTCAATGAAAATTTTGGTATTATCAAAGAGTAATAATGTCATTTTCTTTGCATTTTCAGAAAAAGTGACATTTTTTCACCGATCGGAAGTGGTGGTGCTGGAAGGCGGTAGAGGCGGTGGGAAAGGCATCCTCATTTTTATGGACTTTTAATATTTTTTATTAATTTTTTATTTATTTTATATTATTTTTTACAATTTTTATTACGGAGTATTTTTTTACGATTTTATTATGAATTAAAACATTTTATTATGAATTAATACTCTTAGGAGTATTTAGAGCAGAAAATTAATGTTCAATCCTATTTGTGAATGATTTAGGCTTTAGTCCTATTTGTGAAATTAAGTTTCCATTTAATCCTATTTAGGTCAATTATTATTATTTTATATAAACTTATACCTCATTTTCAAGCCCATATGATCTTATTACTCCCTCACAAACTTAATTTAACGCATATTACATCCAAATCCTCCTTTGGAAATGTTAGAACCCTAGAAAATGAAGTTGAGAAGAACAAACCATACAAACACTAGATGATACCATTGGTTTAATATATGACTTGGTCAAATTGGTAAGCTTTTGTATTAGTATCTTTGCCAATGGACTGGATCACTGGAATATAAATAAGCAAGACTTTGAAGATTGACCCTTCCAAAAAGGTGTTTTTCCTTTGAAAAGTTTGCTTATCCTTTCTTCCCGATAAGTTATTGATTCTTATCCCAGAAGTTGATCATGTTATAATGATGATTAATTTAAAATTTTAAATGTTGGATTACACGTACATATAGATTTGTTGTTGATTGGTCTTCAAATACTTGTTACCCACAAGAATGAAAACCCCCAGAAGAAACACTATTAAGCGAAATAATGGCAACATGTACATGTATCTGAACAAAATTCATTAAATGTCAAATTCATTTTCTTTGCATCACGCAAATAGTCAAATACAACAGAGATTTCCTCTTCTCCACATGAATGCATTAAAATGAAGAGAAAGTATATAATAATTTAGAGCACTTGGGTCGACAACCAGCTACTTACTTAGGAATGGAATCACTGTGAGAAGTGAGCCAATCTTTTACTGCATGCGTTAAGGTCGGGTAGCACAGTCTCTCCAGATTTCCTCCAATTTTCAGCATCAGATGTCTTGAACCGGTCGAGCAATATCGTATTCATCCCCACACTCCTTGCAGGAATAATATCTTTCCTGATGCTGTCTCCTATGTGAAGAACTTCTTCTGGAGCAACATTTCCAGCTCTCTCCAATGCAATTTTATATATCTTTGGGTCTGGTTTTTCTACACCTTCTAGGCCAGAGAATACTCCAAAATCCCACTCAGATCCCTTATTCATGGCACATAAGAAGAACCTCATTACTCTCCACATCCCAAGCAAAAAACTTGTTTGTATTTGTTAAATTCGGTTAAACTCGACGTCAAAGGAGCCTCAAGAACTAATCTTTACCTCAAAATTATTACCAGTTTCATATGAAATTCACACCCCAAGCCGGGCAAGCCCGGCCTGGACAAGGTGGACTAGATAAATGTAAGCATGGACACATGGACCTCTAAATGATTTTCCCAAATCAAGTAGTGGGTTGGCACCCAACAAACCACGATTAGACTAGTATTTGATACTATATTAAATCAGGTCTAACTCAATTACTCAACCAAAATGGATACTTCAGATGCGTGAGGTTTACATATACCACACACTTTTATAAAAGTACCAATACACAAATATTGACAGCTATTGTAGGATGATTTCATAATCGGTAGTATATTGATTCCATATCACAAAAGGAACTCTATTTCCAGTGGAGTTTAAAATATATTTTGCTTCTACTCATATTAGGACCTTATACGGCATACCAAAATCTGATGTAACATGTTTACCTGATTCAAGCCTAGGGCTGGAAGGATTACGTCCCGATACCGATATTCAGCATTGCTAACAAGCCCAACTGTAACACCAGTAGAACGAGGCCACCTAAGGAATGGTTGAGAATCCGGGAATTTAGTGTAAGGTGCAGCAGAACCAAAGGTTGCATATATGCGTTTAAAGATCTTTTCAAATGTCTCCTCATCATAATCATATCCTGCCTGTCATCAATAAATTTTTAAGCCAAAGATCCACAAGTGCAAATAATTTGAGAAACAGGACAGTGTTTCACAGCCAGTTTGGTAATATCTAAAATTGCTGGAGTGGCCTTAAATCTATTGAATTTTCTAAAGTTGTGGTTGAAAGAGCCGAATCTGTCAAATTTTCTAAAAGTATTATTTATAAGGATATTTGTTATATAAATTAAAGGAATCAGTCTTTGGAAATATAGGTAGGCATGTTATTTTCTCTAACTACAACCATTTTAGTTTTAAAAAGTATCTCATGCACTACTTTCAGCAAAATAAGTTATTTTATGGTGATAAAGTTGACAAAAAGGGCAGCCCGGTGCACATTGGAGTCCCCGCTAGGCAAGGGTCCAGTGAAAAAATGGACTCATAAGCAGAAATAAAGTTCTATCATATTGGCTCTGAATGAAGCATTCAATATCTTGTTTACTTGTGCTTATGTTTATAAGGATTTTATATCTACCTTCACAAATGAATCTCGAACACAAGTCTTCCACCAGAGAATGTTAGGCATCTTTTCTGCAAACCCGAAACAGGGATGTTTTCTAGCCGTATCAGTATATCCATGTTTAAAGCCCTCATGCACTCTTTTATAGTCAGGACACGGAAGTCCAACGGCTTTCGCTGCCATGCAATAGTAGTCGCCTAGTTCTCCCTTGTAAGCTATCAGTGTGCCAGTGACATCAAGTGTGATGCATCGGAATTTTGTTAGAACAGACATGATGTTATGCAACTTGATGTTCCCAATATCCAATTTCTTAACTATACTTGAGACTCCACAAAATGTTGTGTTAAACCAATGTACCAAAGATAGGGATCACCATCCAAACAGCTGTTCAAATATTATATACAACACTGTAAATGATGAATATCAATTGGAATGCCTGAAATATTAATAAAAGCTTCAATTATCATTTGAGATTTTTATGCTCTAATACAATTATATCTTATATTAGTTATAAGATAGGAGAAGTAGTTCAATATCTTATATATTTACTTGCATTTTTATGAAAAGAAAATGCGATGTGGGATTTCTTAAAACAGTAACCATTGATGCTGTCATGATTCATGAAACTGTAGTACACGTGCGATGCACGCGATCTTAAAGTTGGATAAGCATCATTTTATTTTAAAGTCATACTCAAGCATTTTTCAAACTGATAGATTAGGAGCCCGTTTGGTGACCTCTTTTTTGGCTTATCAGGCTTATCAGCCAGCTTTTTCACCAAACACGTAACTTTTGATTTCACGCGCTGAATTGTGTAATAAGCAGAAAAGGTAAGGTTGGAGTTACTTTTCTGGCTGTATTGGCTGAAGTTACTGTAGAGGATCATTTTAGCTATTTTTTCATATAATTTTTTATTTTATTTATTAATAACAAATATTTTAAATATAATTTTTTCATGAATCAGCAGAATCAGCCAATACAGCCACTTTAGCCAAAACTTCATAAATTTCAGCAGAATCAGCCAATACAGCCAATTTTAGTGTTACCAAACGGGCTCTAGACATAGGCACATATGTTATTTGGACTAAATTTTATCTAGACCCTGCTACGATTTAAAAAAAGAATAAAATAAAATAAAATAAAATGAGAAATTCACACTATTAAAATACAATCAAGTTTGTCAAGAAAGAAGTATTGAGCCACATATTTACTTTTTGGGGGTCCATTGGCTACGCTTATTTGGCTAAAATAGCAAACTAAATCAAAGTTGATTGATTATATTGGTAACCATAAGTTGGTGTGTCAAAGCTGATTGATTTTGTATTTGGTTTTGTAGTTTTGCATTATTTTATTTGGTTTTTATATTCAAAGGAGTAGATTAACAATTATGGATTTAATATTTTCTATCACAAAAAGGGATTAGCTTAGTGAAAAGACAAAACAAAAAAACTAAAACTAAAAAAGGAGGAGTAAAAGGACGAGTAAATCAAAAGAAAGTACCTAGCAGTAAAAGTAAAGAAAAGAATAAAAATAAAAAACACAAAACTAAAAAGTACTCATAAGTCGTAACAATCAAGAAGGGAAAAGGATGAGTATGGCGGATGAGTATTACGAATGAGTATGACGGCATAAGAAAATAAAGAAAACGAGATGGTGGCTGAAGAAATAAGATTAGAGAAAAGAAAAGAGAATGACGGCAGAAAAGGAAAAAGTATGGAGCGAATTGATGATCCAGCGAGAAGGAAAAAGTATGGCATCAAAAACTTAAAGTTGCTTAAAATTACAAAATAACCGGGTGTATGTACACCCGGATGTAGGATATAATTTGCCGGGATGGGGGCATATTTGATAATTCCATTCCAAATCATTATATGCTTTTTAATTTAGATTTAAATAATTCAACTGCATCATTCATATTGGTCCATTTGGACAAAGTCACAAAGGTACGGTACATTTGGGGTACCATAGAATCTACCATATTATAAATACAAAAGCAAGATACAAACGCCCAATTCAAGTCAATTTGGCAGCAAATAAATAAAATGGAGTCGTCGTCGTCGTCCATTATGATAATTTACAGCTGCATGATGGCAGTAGCGATTATTCCGGTGGGTTTCTGGGTATGGGCATTGTTGGATTGGGTGTGGTTTAAGCCCGGCCAGAAGATTGGAGGGGTGCCTTAAGCAGCAGGGTCTGAAGGGTAACCCCTACAGAGTCCTCCATGGAGACATGAAAGAAACATCCAGAATGGTAAATGATGCGGATAACTCCCACCCGATGAGTCCGTCCGACGATGACATTGCCCCCAGAATGCTTCCACATTTCCTTCAAATCATCAACAAATATGGTACATACGAGCTAAATTATGGATATATATACTCCCTATATATATATATGATCGATGCATGCCGGCCTCTCATTTCACTCCATAAAAATTGACACAAATTTGACACGATCGCTCCAAATCAAGTTGGTTCCAAAATATGAAGTACGGAGTATATATGTGTCAACACGATTTTGGAACGAGCTATTTATCAAATTGTTTTTATAAAATTCACTACTCCGTGATCGATATTTATCAAATAAATATATTATTATGAACTCAATTCTCTATTCTCCTTGGACACGGCGTATTATAATTGTATTATTATTTCTGTGGAGTATCGATGTTTTTACTTGACTGTAATTTGTCCCAAAACAGACCAGATCAGACCAGAACAGCAAATTACAGTCTAAATAAAAGCATCCTAATTATGTCACTGTTGTTATTTTATTTTAGGCTAGCTAACTTAACCAATTAATTAATCCCTACTATGTAGTTTATTTTAGTTTAGTATTTGATTTAATATATCTTTGACGTTTTCCTTTCAAAAAAAAGTTTAGTATATCTAAAATTTTACTCAAATGCTACACATTACAAATTCCAAAAAAAAAAATGTTATGCTTTTCAAACAGTACGTATTCCAAAATAATTGTACTAGTATGTGTTTAGAACTTTTAATATACTATCGGTATATTGTTTCAATATATTGTTTTATATAGTAAAACGGACTTATGAATTGTTTGTGTCATTCTTTGATTGACTAATAAAAAACTATTTCAACAATTCGTTCAAAAAATGATCACTAAAGAACTATTGTATGTTGGCGGTAATATGCAACTCGTAACTCAAATAAAAAGAGTAATTTAGTACAGTTTATGTGTAAAGTCAAATACAATAATATTTATAAAATTTGACATTACATAATTGAGTTTGAGTTAGTATAATGTTCCATTTTAAGTCAAAATTTTAAAAGATTATGACCCCAATAATCTTTTTTTTTTCTTTCCGGATTCGCTATTGGATGTATTTGTGCCTCATATATTTAAATGGCCTGGTCTGATAAGTAGGATATTATGTGTATTCTATTATATATATTGTTTATATATTGTATATACGTTGATGTTTGAAATTTTTTACCAAATATATACTATATATTGTTTAAAATATTATTTTCAATTTTGTACTGTTTTTTGTATTAATAGATGAATATTCTATTTTGCGATCATTTCCTATATTTTATTACTTAGTATATTTTTTAAAAAAATAGAATACACATTTCATACTATTTCTATTAGTTTAGTTTTTACAAGCCAATTAATAACTATATTAATATAGTTATTAATATATAGAAATATATTAATTGGCTTGTAATTAATTATTTCTATTAGTAGGAATTCCATTTCCTATGTAGGTTCCTTGCTAGTCTAGTATAGCCACTACCGTATGAAGCTTACGAACTCTGTTACGGTTGGTATAGGGAAATATTGGGCCTGGGGCAAAATGTCTAATAATTGAGGGGATAGGGTTTGTGTGCGGTGAACCCAAAATTGTGGAGGGAATTTTTTTCATTTTATTGGTATTTTTTCAATTTGCAATTATAGTGGGAACACTGAAAATTTCAAACGGAGTGAATTATTGGTGATTTCTTTGAAACAACTTTTGTTCTTTTAAGGAACTTTACATGTTCTTAATTACGGAGTATTTCGTATTAAACACAACAGAACTCCTTCCATTCTTTAATAAAAGTCCTTCTTTCCTCTTTGGGACGTTTTTTTTATTTGTCCTCCTTTCCATTTAAGGAAAGTTTTTACTTTAAATATACCTTTATACCCCCACTTTTATTACCATTACCCCTTTCTCTTTCCTACTTTTTCATTTACCCACTACTCATTACACCTTTTACACTACCCCTACTATTTTCTTCTTAAAACCCGTGCCAAAACCTAAGAGGACAGATAATAAAGAACGGAGGGAGTATATAACAGGGAGAATTAATTATTACTCCGTATTTTGTTAATTTATGAAAAAAAACATAAGACAAAATTTGCATTTTGGAATAATATGAGAGTAAATTAAATGTCTACTCCCTCCGTCCCCTTTTAAATGTCCCGTTTTACTATATTGAGATGTCTCTATTTAATTGTCTCATACCTTATTTGGTAAAGTTTGTGTGGCTCAAAATCATTCTTACTTTATTCTTACTTTAACAATTAATATCAACCACACAAACCAACTTTTCTTAAAACTCGTGTCACCCTCTTTCGGGACATTTAAAAGGGGACGGAGGGAGTATTTGATTTACTTGAACTGTAATCCGTCCCAGACCAGACCAGACTTGGATAGTTATAAAAATAAAAGAGATCAGACATTATCAGGCCAGATCAAACCAGATAAAATCAGACCAGACCAGAACAACAAATTACAGTCCAAGCAAAAACATCTTACTCAATGTGTTTCGTATTATACAGTTGTATAAATGTTGAACCCAATATGTGTAAACAGAGGAATTTAATTCCTCTCTATTAAAACAATAGCCCTGTATATATCTTAGTGGAACTAATTTCTTAGCTAGTGGGGTCATTATTATTGTTTTTCTAAAATCGAAAGAGAGCAGAAATATATTTCCTTTCTAATGCTTAAGATTCCTTTCTAATCCAATTACATGACTAACTAGAAAAATTCCTTGCAAATTTCCTCTCTAAATTAGATACGAACTTCTTTTCCTCTCACGTTCCTCTCTATTTCAGACTTTTCTAGTAGTGATAATGGTGGTACGGTCTACTGATGATAGCACGCACTATAGAGATAATTATTTCTCAAACAACTAGATACATTTATGAGCAGGTAAAAATTGCTATATATGGATGGGTCCAACTCCTATGGTGTTCATCATGCATCCTGACCTAATAAAAGAGGTTTTGAATAAAAACTACCTATATCAGAAGCCTCACGCCAATCCACTAGCAAGGAATCTAGTTCAAGGAATATTCACCTACGAAAATGACAAGTGGAAAAAACATAGAAGGTTACTCAATCCTGCTTTCTTTACCGAGAAGCTAAAGGTTAGTGATGGAGATGCATATGTGTGTGAAATAGCTAACAACGTATAGTATGCCCTTGGTATGTTTAGTATCTTTAACTTCTTTCATTGTCATTGCAAACAACAGCTTATGGAACCCGCATTTATGATAAGTTGTGGTGATATGGTGAGAAAATGGGAAGCGAGAGCCGAAGAGTATTGTGAGGTGGATGTGTGGCCGGACCTTCAAACCATGACAAGCGATGTCATTTCTCGAACCGCATTCGGGAGTAGCTACAAAGATGGAAGGAGGATATTCGAACTCCAAACAGAACAAGCCTTGCACGTCACAGAAGCAATGCGGCACGTTTATGTGCCTGGATGGAGGTGATCTATCTGAGATTAAATAACAAATTTTGTGTTATGAAAAGATAATAGAGTATATATGTATCTCTTCACTTGGTGAACTTGTAAGTTGATTTGATTGCATGTAGATATGTGCCGACAAAGAGGCATAGAAGAATGCATGACATTAAGAAGGAAGTGAAATCATGCATTCGAACCATTATAGAGAAAAGGTTGAACGCCATGCAGGTAGGAAGGACAAACAATGACGATCTACTTGGAATACTACTACAATCTAACTTGCAAGACATCAAGAAACATGGGAACAAAGGGGCTGGGATGAGCATTGAGGAAGTCATTGAGGAGTGTAAGTTGTTTTATTTTGCAGGGCAAGAGACTACCTCTGTGTTACTCGTATGGACTATGGTTTTACTCGGCAGATTTCGAGAATGGCAAGCTCAAGCTAGAGAAGAGGTGCTGCAAGTTTTTGGTAGGGACAAGGAGCCACATTTCCAAGGACTAAATGACCTCAAAGTTGTAAGTATTTATTGTTGATACAACATATATTCCAAGTTTCATTGCAATGCTGACTTAATTTAGTGTAGTACTCTTTTTTCAGGTGACAATGATTTTATATGAGTCCTTAAGACTATACCCGCCAGGAACTAACTTGACTAGGAGTACGATCGAGGAGATAAAACTTGGAGATATATGACATTGCCTCCTGGGGTGATGTTGTCATTACCTATACTTTTGCTACATCTTGATAGTGATATATGGGGTGTAGAAGCTAAAGAGTTCAAACCAGATAGGTTTAGCAATGGTATAATGAAAGCAACAAATGGAAAACACGCTTTCTTCCCATTTGGTGGAGGGCCTCGTATATGCATTGGCCAAAACTTTGCTTTGGTAGAAGCTAAAATGGCAATGGCAATGATTCTGCAACGCTTTTCCTTTGAGCTCTCTCCTTCTTATACTCATGCTCCATTTACAAGAGCGACCACTCAACCAAAGCATGGTGCTCCTCTTATTATGCATAAGCTTTAGTGTTCCGTTTCTTATGTTGGGGCTAGGGTCTCGGTTTTGGGATTGATGGTTCAAGACTTATTTACACCTTGTGCAGTGTTTGCACTGTTATACATTTACTTTTGTTCAAGTCTGTTCGATGAGAGATTCCTCCATTACGTATCTCTTTTATGTTCATCACCATAATGTTCATGAATAATAAAAAACATATTCTGCATGCCAAATTGATTTGTGAAGTCTATTTTGCTTGTCCAACATAGTATTTCTTTATTTAGGATTTTGGTTCTTTATTATTTCTTCCGGTTCTCAAACAAGATCTCACTTTCATTTTTCACAAGTCCCAAATTAAAAAACTACCCTTACACATTTACTTTATTTATATCCCTTACACTCACTTTTCATCCTCCACTACACCTAACTTACTTTTTGTAAGGATATAATGGAAAAGTCAAAAGCAAAATTTTGGCTTTTTCAAAATCACAAAGTCAAATTATTAAGAACTTTGAGAATCAGACGGAGTATATTGGCAACTTTGAGAAAAGTGAGTATATTACAGACAAAATTGTTGGCAACTTAACATGACTAAAAGATGTGGTGAAACCTATTTGGATGTGATGGAGTATATGGCCCAGGAACCCCCGGCCCATAGACTCCTACTTCTCCTACACAAGTCCATTGAGCTCAGGAAACAACTCAGGCCCAAATACAACGGCCCAAGCCTCAAAGTGGCCCAGAATACACACTGGGGGCCTTCGGCCTGCTTGGCCGAAGGCTCCAAAACTCACAGGATAAGCCTTCTTTGGCACAAGAAGCTGCCGGGAGAAAACGGGCGAAAACATTAGCCTTCGGCACTATGGAGCCCTCGGCACCAGGGGAAGCCCTCGGCTGAACCAAGCCTCCGGCTACACATCGAGCCTTCGGCCATACATGAAGCCCTCGGCTACACAAGGAGCCCTCGGCTGCACAAGGAGCTCTCGGCTACACAAGTAGCCTTCAGCTAAACTAGCTCAATCATCGAAGATTCCTTTTAGAGACAGCCAACCACCGCATTTAATGCCACGTCACATCCGCCAACCGCAATCAATGCGGTGGACGTACCACTGCCGGTGCCAATCGGCTGATGTGACCCCTCGGCCGTTGGATTACTGACACGTGTCCCCTCATCGCATTTATTGCTGCTATAAATAGCAGCCCATTCCTCCTTGTAAATGAGGATCTACACCTCAACTCCACACGCTGAGTTCATTTAATAAAATCGACTCTCTCTCCTCCTATTTACTATGACTTCTCTCTAGTTATTCCCGCAATAACCCCTCGGATAAGATACCCCCCGGGTAGACTATCCATCATTTGGTGCTCTCGTTGAGAGGTCTGAACTATCAAGTAAGAAACCCTCCCCCTCTACCAAACACTAAACACTCACCAAAAATGGGAAGAACCACCCGTGCCCAATCCAAAACCCTTGAGGAGAACCACGTAGCCCCCGGCGAGACTAACGGGGCTGAGGCCTCCAACGGGCTCTTAGTACCCGAGGGTGGTATCATCCTCGAATTGGAGCAGGCTACCGCTGACCTCCGTCAGCAGCTACAGAAGAACGCCCCCGATGCCCGCATTGGCCTTGATAATCGAAGGAGGGATCGGAGTGAGAACCAAGTTCCTCCTCCGGCCCCGGCCATCGATCTTCAGGCTGCCTTTGCGGCCTTTGTTCAAAACATGGCTCTCAATTCCGGGGCCCTCGCCTCTCAGACACCCCTCCAGCCCTACGCTGGAGGAAATGTTATTCAATTGCCACCACTCCCCCCTCTGTTCAACAATCCTCCCCCGGGGATTGGCAACCGCGAGGGGGTCGTGGCGCAGGATACCGCCTCCCAGGAGGCTCAATCCAGGGACAAGCGCCCCATGATGAAGGAGAAACCCCGGACCTCTGCACTTGAGAGGCTTGGGGGAGCTCCCGGACGCCGAGGGGTCCAAGACCGCCTCGGCAAGCTAGAATTCAGCAGGCCACAGGAGAGTGGTGCCTCCGCTTCGGGGACCGAGGGCGTGCCTCCCCCCCGAAGCAAAGGCAAAGCCCTCCTCCATGCCGATGACGCGAGGCATCATATCACACAGGCGCAATCCTTCCGGGCCAACTCCCAAGGGGTTGCCCCGAAGGATCCCAAGGACGAACTTATCGAGGCCCTCCTCCGCCAACTTGAGGAGAATCGTCAGGCACCGCCAACGGCTTCCACAGCTAGGCCAGATCCGGAGTACGCTGACCTCCGGGCGCAGGTGGAGGAAATGAAACGTAAACTTGCCGAGGGCTCAGGCGAGCCCCTCATTCAACTCCGCACTAGAACACCCTTCACCCCAAGGGTGTTGGCGGCCAAAATCCCCCACAAATATCGGGGGCAACCCATCAAGCCGTATGAGGGGAAGACGGACCCCCAAGAGCACTATAGCCGCTATCAAAATAGCATGATGATGATGGGGGCCTCGGATGAATACTTATGCCGTTGGTTCCTTTCCACCTTGGAGGGACCAGCGTATGAATGGTTCAACCGGTTGCCCGAAGGCAGCATTGATTCTTGGCAAGAACTTGCCCACCGCTTCCTGACACAGTTTGCCGGGAGGCATCGCTCAAAGAAACACTCCTCCCACCTCCTGAACGTGAGGCAACAGAAGGAAGAAACCCTTCGGAGTTTCTTAGAACGCTGGAGGCAGGCCTCCCTCGAGGTCGAAGGCGCCGATGACAGGACCCTGATGGCCCTCTTCCACACCGTACTCCGCAACGGTAACTTCTCCAGGAGTCTCATCACCGATCCCCCCCGCGATTATACAAAGGCCCTTAAGCGGGGGGACCGATACGCTGAAGCGGAGGAAATCGAGAAGGACCGCCGCAACACGGATCCTTCTCAGAAGATTGAAGGCAGGAATCGGTCCGGAGGGCCTCCCCCTCCGGTCAACCGAGAGGCGCAATATAATGATCGCCCCCGAGGTGGCCAAGCCAGAACCGGGGGCGGTTACAAGAATAATCCGAAGGCATGGGCGCAACCCGTCCTCCTTGAGCACCCACGCACTCCCTTGACGCATCCCGTCAGCGTCATCCTTGATCATGCAGAAGAGCGGGGGCTCGTTGAGCGAGACTCCCGTACACCCCTCGAGATTTATGCCATCGGTCCAGATGAGCCCTACTGCCGCTTCCACCGCCACCATGGACACAAAACCGACGACTGCCATCAGCTGAAGAACGCCATCGAGAGGCTGATACAGGCGGGCCACTTGTCTCAATTTATCAGGGGCCCTCCTCCCCAGGGCCTCCTTCATCATCAAGAGCCTCCGCCGAAGGCAAATAAATGGGTAAACCCCAACACCATCCCCTTGGGGAACCCACAGGGGAAGAAGCGCGAAATTGGGGGCCTCGATGACGAGGGGGAAGGCTCCCATCAACAATACAAACGCCATATTCATATGATCAACGGCGGCAACACCGGAGGCGATTCAATAAGCCAAAGGAAGAAGTGGGCACAGTCCCTTTACGTTGGGGAAGTCAATCACATGCCCCAAACTAAAAGGCCGAGGGCGGATCCAATCTTCTTCACAAATGCGGACCTCCCCTCGGGTTCTCTGCCGCATAGGGATGCCCTCGTCATCCGCACTGAGATCAACGACGCCATCATCCACCGGACTTACGTCGACACAGGGAGTTCTGTCAACGTCATGTATCTCAGCACCTTCCAAGAGTTGGGACTCGACAGGGGGGACCTTCGGCACATCAACACTCCCCTCTCCGGATTCACGGGGGATAGCATAGTGATATGAGTTTTCTCGCACTTAAAAAGATTGTAATATAGTGGTGTAAGTACGAGTATCGTCTCCACAGGGACGGACAAAAGGGAAATAAAGATTAACTAAACTTTAGCGATTAAAAAGAAATAAATAAAATAAAAAATGCAATTGTGCGAGATTGGTTGATTGATTAAACTAAAACTAATGCTAATGAGCTAATAAAAAAAATTTGGTTTTCCTTAATTAACGACGAAGGGAACAGGAATTGATTCCGGGGTTAACCAGATTTCTGGCAGATCAAGCCTAATCACATGAATTTAATTTAATTGAGCCTAGCTAATCATTACTAAGTTCTTACCGCTCTCGCGGCGTAGAGTACAATAATTTAGGGGTCCAGGCTGATCTCTCATGCGACAAGATCCTAAATTATTGCCAAAACGAGCGAGCTTACGGCCCCTTAATCGATACTAATCTCTTAGCGAACGATTAAGTGTGTGTGAATGTGTCCTAGAACAAATTAGATCTCTCTTAATTCATTCTACATGCAATTGTAATTCTAGCTGCAGTCTAGGTTACAAGAGATATCAGTTAAATTATTCAAACACAAATTAAACGGCATTCATGCAATTAAACCGACAAGAATCTAGCCATCAATCATGATTAATCCCTTCATCAACCCCAAATCCCTAATTAAACTACTCACGCCTCATAATTGACGAATCAAAAGAATTGGGATGAATAGAATAAATTGTCATTAATTAAAGAATTGAACTTACAAATAATCCCAGGGTCTTGGAAGAAAATAGCGTAAAAACGGTGTTAAATTCGTCCCTAGGCCTCTCCGTAATGTTCGTAACGTCAAAATATGGGTATGGGGGTCTTATTTATAGAAAACAGATGAGTTTGGGCTGAACTGGGACTAAAAAGGGGCTGAAATCCGCGTCTCGGGTGTACGCACGATCGTGCGTGGCCTGGTACGCACGATCGTGCGTAGCAGGCAGAATGTTATCGCGTTGTTGGCTCTTACGCACGATCGTGCGTCCTTTTACGCACAGTCGTGCGTCCGTGCTCTTCAGCCTTTTTTCTATTCCGAATTTGACAAAACTTCTTTCATGAAAGTTGTAGATAATGAAGTCCTCTATCCACCCCAATTTGCCGAATGTGATTTGAATCATCCAATCAAGAGATATGACTAAAATGGTGGAAGGTGTCATTCTTAAATCGCAGCAGAGATCATCTGACTTCATCGTCTGTTTTCACCTTGATCCTCTCAGATTCTCGGAATGATGTCTTCATATGATTTGTAGCCCTTGAAGTTGGCTTTCATATAGAACTTGAATCGTGTACATTGGTTGTTTCTACAAAGAGATATGCTTGAACGATTGACAGAAGGTCATCCTGATCGTCGTTTTCAAGCTTCATTCATCTTCTTTTGACCCCGTAGCCAATCCTAGAG